GTTTGAGACCAGCCTGGCCAACATAGTGAAACTCCGTCTCTAGTAAAAATACAAAAATTAGCTAGGTATGGTGGTGTGTACCTGTAATCTCAGCTACCTGGGAGGCTGAGACAGGAGAATCGCTTGACCCAGGAGGTGGAGGCTGCAATGAGCCAAGATCGTGCCACTGCACTCCAGTCTGGGCGACAGAGCAAGACTCCAGTGCAGGGCCTGCCGTGCTGGAGGTGAGCCACCCGCTCTGTGTCCATAGGCCATCACTGCCCGCGACTCCATGGCCAAGTCTCTGTACAGTGCCCTGTTCGACTGGATTGTGCTGCGGATCAACCACGCACTCCTCAACAAGAAGGACGTGGAAGAGGCAGTCTCGGTGAGTGCCCCCATTTCCTCCCTCAAGCCAGGTCAGGGGAGGCCACATCCTCACTACCAACATCCTTGGTGGGCAACCCAGAACATCCGGAGCCGAGGCATCTGTAGTCAAGAGGCTGTTTCCCCCAACAGGCAGGACCAGGAAACAGGACAGGCTACAAAATTCAGGCCCAGGGCAGAATGAAAACAGGGCCCCTTATTCAAAAACGACAGATTCTGACATGCACCTGTGGTCCCAGCTACTCAGGAGGCTGAGGCAGAAGGATTGCTTGAGCCCAGGAGGTCAAGGCTACAGTGAGCTGTGGTGGCGACACTGCACTCCAACCTGGGCAACAGAGCAAGACCCTGCCTCAAAAAAAAAAGTATGGATTCCATGCTGGTAATGGCAAAGTGTTCTGCCGAGCAGCGGGGACTCAGGACCTAACAGGTCACAGCCTGTAGAGCCAGCCCCTCTCATGAAGGCTGGCTCCCACAGGGGGCACCTGCGGGCAGTGACCATTTTCTCTATCTCTCCCAGTGCCTGTCCATCGGGGTCCTGGACATCTTCGGATTTGAAGACTTCGAGAGGAACAGCTTCGAGCAGTTCTGTATCAACTACGCCAATGAGCAGCTACAGTATTACTTCAACCAGCACATCTTCAAGCTGGAGCAGGTGCGGAAAGGGCTTTTTTGTCAATTTTTTGAACTTGGTAAACCAGACATCACATGAAATTTACCATCTTAACCATTCGTAAATACTCAGTTCAGCGGCGATAAGTGCATTCACACATTCGCAGTTATGCAAACACCACCACCATACATCTCCAGAACTCTTTCATTTTGCCAAACTGAGACTCTGTCCCCATGAAACACTCATTCCCCATTCCCCCTCCTGCAAGCCCTGAACTCACCTTTCCACTTTTTTTTTTTTTTTTTTTTTTGAGACAGGGTCTTGCTCTGTCACCCAGCTAGAGTGGTATAATCATAGCTTACTGTAGCCTCAAACTCCTAGGCTCAAGTGATCTTCCTTCCTCGGCCTCCCAAGTAGCTGAAACCACAGGTGCACACCACCATGCCTGGCTAATTTTTGTATTTTTTGTAGAGACAAGGTTTTGCCATGTTGCCCAGGCTAGTCTCGAACTCCTGAGCACAAGCAATCTGCCCACCTCAGTCTCCCAAAGTACTTGGGATTACAGTTGTGAGCCACCGTGCCTGGCCCATTCTACTTTCTGTCTCTGTCATTTTTTACTAAGTGCCTCATGTAAGTGAAATTAGACATTATTTGTGTTTTTGTGACCGGCTTATTTCACATAGTATAAAGTCCTCATGGGTCATCCACATGGTAGCATGTGTCAGAATTTCCTTCCTTTTCAAGGCTGAGTAATATTCCATTTTCTGGATGTACCACATTTTGTTCATCCATCCTTCAGTAGACACTTGGGTTGCTTCCAGCTTTTGGCTGTTGTGCATAATGCTTTTTTGAACATGGGTGTGCAAATATCTCTTCAAGACACTGCTTTCAATTCTTTCGGGTATATACCCAGAAGTGGACTTGCTGGATCCTATGGTAATTCTGTTTTTAACTTTTTTGAAGAACCACCATACTGTTTTCCATAACAGCTGCAGCATTTTATAAGGAAATACCATGTTGTTGCACACCCAGCCCAAAGGGAAAATAGAATGAGCTGGAACCGGAATCTCCCTGGAGGCCCAGATCGTTGGTGAACTTGCCGCAGAATTTTTCTCAGTCAGAAGGAAAATTTAAGAAAACCCACCCAGCCTGGGATGAGGCAAATGTCAGGGATGTTTTGAGCCATAGTTCATTTGGGGGCTTCTCTGTCCAAACAGAAAATCTTTTTGATGAGAGAGAAACTGGGCTGCCTTTTAAGGATTTGCTTAGCTCAAAGACATTGATAACCTATCTGATGTGTCTTTTTTTTTTTTTTTTTTTTTGAGATGGAGTCTGTCTCTTGTCGCCCAGGCTGGAGTGCAGTGGCACGATCTTGGCTCACTGCAACCTCTGCCTCCCTGGTTCAAGCAATTCTCCTGCCTCAGCCTCCCAAGTAGCTGGGACTACAGGCACGCGCCACCACGCCCAGCTAATTTTTTTGTGTTTTTAGTAGAGATGGGGTTTCACCCTGCTGGCCAGGCTGGTCTCAAACTCCTGATCTTGGGTAATCTGCCCACCTTGGCCTCCCAAAGTGCTGGGATTACAGGCATGAGCCACTGCGCCTGGCCCTGACATGTCTTTTCAAAGCTAAATAGTCAACCATCCTTATTCATGTCTTCTCCTTCACATTGATGATTCTGATAGGAAAATGAAACTGGCAGGCTTATGTAAATATCCAGCTGATTTTCCTATTAAGCTTTTTGGCAGTGAATCATTGGGAGTGTAACTGGTCAGAATTAAGTTGTGCAGGAAGGGTGACATACACACTAAATTGCGAAGACTTAGCTTGTGAGAATAAAGAACATACACTGTCTCAGTAGCTCACTGCAGCCTTGAACACTGAGGTTTAGATGATCCTATCACCACAGCCTCCCAAGTAACTGAGACTATAGTTGCACGCCACCACACCCAGCTAGTTTTTTGGTTTTATTTTTTGTAGAGATAGGGTCTTGCTATGTTGCCCAGGCTGGTCCTGAACTCCTGGCCTCGAGTGATCCTCCCACATTGGCCTCTCAGTCATTTTTTATGTCTATTACACATTAATGTGATCACATTTTAGATATACAGGGTTAAATTAAGTGTATTATTAAAGTTAATTTTGAGCTATACACAGAGGCACATATCTGTAGCTACTGAGGAGGCTGAGGTGGGAGGATTACTTGAGCCCAGGAGGTCGAGGCCGCAGTGAGCTACAGTTGTGCCACTGTACTCCAGGCTGGGTGACAGAACGAGACCCTGTCTCAAAAAAAAAAATTAATTTCACCTATTCTTTTACTTTTTACATGTGATTATTAGAAAATTTGAGGCTAGGCATCGTGGCTAATGCTAACAATACCAGTGCTTTGGGAAGCCAAAGTAAGAGGATTGCTTGAGGTCAGGAGTTCAAGGCTGCAGTGACCTATGGTCACACCACTGTACTCCATCCTGGG